CATGAAATATGCTGGCACCAACTCTCAACTTTGGCGTGGACTTATGTTTTTATTGTTTCTTACTGTCTGGAATATCGTCTCTATTTTTAAATAAGACACAGCTTGCAGCTGCCGACAGTGCCTATGTGTGCCGGAAGGAAGACCACAGAGTTGATGTCTCATTCAGATGAGTACAGTGGTTCTCCTGCTTCCTTAGGTAACCTGTTGGCACCTGTAAGCTGAAAAGTACAATTTCTAGTGATTAGTTACTTGCTTATAGGACTTGAGGCAGATGAACAGCCTCTAAGCTAAATCAGACATGAAGTAATTATATTTGGCCTTTCTTGATTGCAGTAGCAAAATTGTATCCTCCAAGGGAAGAAGGAAGCCCTTGTTCAGGTGTAGGCCAGTATGAAAAGCTGTAAAATTATACAAGCAACAGAATCAGAAGATGTACAGAGTACTGCAAATCATTGTAAAGCTCCACTGATATATCACTGAAACATTTGTAATGGGTTATAAAAGTAACTTGGGTCATCCTGGTCCGTCGCACTAGTAAATGTATACAAGGTTTTTAACCACTGTGAAGTGTGATTGATAAAAGTTGTTTTTAATTTTTCATCCTTTACATGTTTCGGTCAAAACCATCTTCAGAAGGATATTATCCACACGTATGGAAACTACTGTTACATGTCATACATATAATAACATACATTTTAATAACAATAAACAATATATATGTTATGTATTTTAACTAATTAAGATGTACATTGATTTGTTAAAACATCTAAAAATTATTACAGTTAGTCTGTTTACAAAATAATGTTCAGTATTTGTTTTAAACTAGAACCAATTTGGTTTCTTGTCCTTACACTTTTTTAATAATTTTAGATGTTTTAACAAAACACTGTACATCTTAATAAGTTAAATGATATAACATATATATGTATGACATGTAACAGTAGTTTCCATACGTGTTGATAATATCCTTCTGAAGATGGTCGTTTTGACTGAAACATGTAAAGGATGAAAAATTAAAAACAACTTTTATCAGTCGCACTGGACAGTGGTTACAAATCTTACATGTGTTTATAAAAGTCCTGTGTTTACTCCACATGCAGATGATGAAGTGTCTTCTGTAGGTATACAAAAACTCGAAAGACACAGAGACTTGGCCAATAATGTCAGGTCATGAAACTGTGTAAAACTGATCTTAAGGCATCTTCTTGGAGGTGGTGATAATGATTTGAACCCAAAATGAATATATCAGTCGATGCTGAACATTATCTGAAGTCTGAATTGTAATCCTGATGTGCTACTAATCTTCACTTAAGTAGGTACAGGGACAGACTACAGGTGTTCCCAAACTTGCATTTTTCTTGATATCAGTAATGCATAACTGTAAGCTGACAACCTCAGTCACATATATTCCAGCCACCTAATTATTTAAGACAGTTTCAATATGTTTTAGTCTTTGTTAATAGAAATTAACTTGAAATCACATTATTACAAAAGTTGTTACATTTGTATAATTCTTCATGAAATAGGAATTATAATTTAAAGCATGTACACCTACTCCATTAGGTGCATGCAGAATATGTTTCAGTTAGTGCAGTTACTTGCAAGGTTGGAATTATGTGTGGAGTTGATTTTAGTTTGTAACATTCTCACTCAGAGCAGTCTGCTTATGGTAATTGATGGTCATTACTATCCGTCCTTACCATAGGTAATTAATTTTTCAGAAAATGGTTTTCAAACAAAAGGTATGGCACACCTATCAATAGAAACTGAAGATTTTGTTTCTTTATTGGTCAGTATCCTGTTGAGAAAGATAACAATAAAATAGTTTTGCTTGGTGTAGTATTTAAATGTATATCATCTTTAGGAAAAATGATATAAAAATGCTTAAATTTCATGATATGTTTGTATGCACTCAAAGTTTCACTGTAAACTTGAGGTGGCCGTGTGCAGTTGGAGCCCAGGCAGGGCCACTGAAGTATCAGGCCGATAGCTTGAAATGGTTGCAATGGTAGACTTGCCATTTCTTATTAATTTGTACAGATTTCTTAACAGACTCACTACTGTGATGAAGACTTGTTCAAACAACGCTCTGAGAATTGATTTTATTGTGTAATGTAATTCATCTGCACTGATCACAGGTCAGTTTAATCAGTACAGCACAATTACTGTATGGTTGTAGTGTGTCAGTATTTCTTGTTCATAAATGGAAGTACAGTCATCTACAAGCACCAGTATTTCGTGCAAGATTTGAGATATTCATGGTAGTGATCATGACGAAGTTGGAAGTGACGCTGTGTAGGTGGGTAGGAGTCCGCCAGCATTTTGGAGGAATGTACTGTCACCTTCGTAAGGATAGACTTCTACTACATGCATTCTGTCACATCCGCAATATTATTGAGGACAAGTCTTCTGAAATGTAATTTGTTTTAAGCAACACTGCAGGCAAATATACTTCCTCCATCTTCAGGATGGAAAATTGAAGCTGAAGGCATTGTGTTCCTCTGAAATGTCATTAAACTTCTACCAGCGTACACAGTATCATATCCCGTATCATCAGCCAAATGAAACTGCTGCTTGTGGATGAACTGATTTCATAATGTGACTTCAAACATCTGTACCTACGCAATCTAAATGTCTGATATCTGGAGTCATCCTAAAGATGGAGGCACACATTCCACCAAAACGTTAGTATCCACCTATCAGACTGCAGCGTGGTGTGTTTCACCAGTACACTGGTATCCGCCTGCCAGACTACAACACAGTGTTACAGCACACAACGTCCCCACCAAGGAACTTGATGATTATACAGCTTTCCAGTTTGTCAGGAAAGTTAGATCAAGGACTTGTAGCTGAGATGGGGGAACACAAATACTTTTCATTTCCATGCATCCTGTTGTGTTATTGTATACAATTCTTTATTGGAGTCCGGCATAACACAACGACATAACGGTTGAGGTTAAAATTACCTAGCTACATGTTTCAGCTTTTTAAAACCATCATCAGGCAAAACACATGATTACTAATTCTGTCTGAATATAGTAATCATGTGTTTTGCCTGATGATGGCTTTAAAAGGTCGAAACATATAGCTGTGTAATTTTAACCTTGACCGTTATGTTGTTGTGTTACGCCGGACTCCAATAAATAATTGAACACAAATACATACAATATTTTTGTTGGCACATGCTGGAATGCATCCACTTGGCAAAACAAAAGTGATGGAAGGAAGATATCAAACCAGATCTTGACGAA